CATTCTAGTGCTCAACCCGTGCATTTGCACGGAGAAAAATACTTAGAAAAGATAATAATATAAAAAAATACATAACCATAATTCATTTCATGAGAAAAAATATGAATTAAAAAAATAATTTTAAATTTTATTAAACATATTGTTTGTATACAATATTTATGGTTTTTCTATCGTCAGAATCACCATCACCACATATCATTATTTTCAAACACTTCCCATTAGTAACTCCAGAAAAACAACGTCCAATTGTTTATTACTGAAATCAGGGTCATTCAAGACTAAGCGAACGTGTGAGAGAGATTGATCTTGACTCTTGATGATCGCCATAGTATAGGAGACCATGTTAAAAAAAATTTTGCGTCGAAATTTTAACGGTACCCTCAAACAAATAGGAAATAATAAAATAGAAGAGCCATTACAACCATTTTCTTTATGCTAAATCAATTTTGTAACTCCCTTAATTGATTTATGCTCATAATTTATGGCATTCAAGCAAGTTAATTTGTAACTTAAAAATGAAATTGAATGCTAAAAAAATTGGAGGGAGAATAAAATTTAATGCATCACAATAAAATTAAATGCTTGTCTTGCCAAATTATATATTTATAGATATATATTGTCAACTAATCTTGTAAACTACAATTGTACATGTAGGGTTGCCATTATATTATCACAGCACACGAAAAGTGTGTATCGTTCAACTCAGCAAATTCACCCATCAACACAGAGATAATTACAAAGGTATCTATTTATTTTCTAGAGAGAGAAAACAAAAACAGCAAAAGGCACATCAAATTTGAACTCAAATCACATCTCTCTCTCTCTCTCGAGAATCTATCATCTTCACTCTCATATTACCCACTGCAGTTTTTCTGAACTCATTTTTCCGTCTCACTCACTCTTTCTCTCTCAACCTATATTTACCCAAAATATCATAGACACTTGTTCTCACATTGATAATAATTACAATACACCTTTGGTTTTTGGGATTTTTGATGCGCGTTGCCAAAAGCTAATAGATCAGTGATGGCGGAGGTTTCCGGCGAGGGAAGTGTCGGCATGGCGGCGGAGCTGGCTCCCGGAGAGAGCAGCGGCAATGCACAGGCAGCGACGCCACTTACTGTGTCTGCTTCGTTCAGGGAAGGAGGCAAGGGTTCGTCGTCGCGGCGGAGGGCGTCTATACGGCCAAGCCTCGACGCCGATGATTTAATAAACCTGCTCCATGGTTCGGATCCGGTGAAGCTGGAGCTCAATCGACTCGAGAACGAAGTCAGAGGTCAGTCGCCTCAGCTGGATCCACTAGATTTCCCCTGATTTGATGTGAAATCGATGCTGCTTAATGCTCCTTAATCTGCGGCTAAGACAATAGTGTTTAACTTGAGTATTTCGTTGTCCACAGATAAGGATAGAGAATTGGGAGAAGCGCAGTCTCAGATCAAGGCACTGAAGTTGTCTGAGAGACTTCGGGAGAAAGCTGTTGAAGAGGTTTTCCATTTTCTTTTCTTTTGTTTACTTTTTTTTTTTTCCTTAAAAAAATAATGGAAGTGGTGATATGGCTAGGGCGACTGAGGTGGCAGTAGTTTGGTGAATTTGCAATCTTTACGTGTTGGCATCTGTTTTTGTTATTGCCAATTAGCTTGATTCTTACAGGTTTGCTGGCATATTTAGTATTTTGTTTATCCATGACAACACACTGATATTGTAATTTTTAACACTTACTTAATAGAATGTTGAGTTCTGAGTGTTTGCTTAGTGTCTTAACCCTTCTTCTAGGATTCGTGTGTGAAAATAGTATATTCGGGAATGGAACTTGGGAAGGCTCTTCTTGCTTTTGCCACTTTAATAGTGGACACTAAAGGCGACAGGGTTATTATGTTGATCATTTTTCTCACTGGTCATTTTTTCCTGGTCTCAAGAGTAGAAAAAGGTAGAAGTAGTAATGTTATAGATATATTCTCTGATCAAGGTTTACATATTCTTTTTCAGTGTGAGTCATAATCTGCATTGGGTTCTTGTGGACTCTACTGCATCAGTTGATGTGATACTCTTTATTAACTGGTTGTTTTATAGAATTAGTGGCCCTTAGATATCGACAAATGCTAGGCAGCTAGATTGTCATAACACCTAGTTAAATATGTTAGCGTGTTTGTAGATTGGCATTGATTTGTCATTGGTAACTTTCCATGACAACCAACTTGTGGTGAGTCTTTGCTCTTCATTATTTCATAGCATTCCCCGACGAACATTAATATGACTCATGATGTCCTTGATATGGACGAAGAGATTTAATGTCATGAATGTGGGTTAATATGAAAAACTTCATGTGTCATGATGTGATTCAGAATCAATTTGGGACTTATCTCTTCATGCAGGAAGTAATACTTCTCTTCATACTTGTAGTGTAGTTTCCTCTCTTTCTTTAAACCATTTTTTTTGGTTTCTCTCCTTTAAAAGCTACCTACATGTATTATCTGAAATACTAAACTTTTCTTGTTTCTCTTTAGCTCACTGATGAGTTGGCAAAGGTAGAGGAAAAGCTCAAATTAACAGAGTCTCTTTTAGAAAGCAAGGTACTTGCTGCAGCTTTTAGGCTTCTCCACCATCCCTCTTTATGTGTGCTCTTGTAACCCTGCACATAAATATTTTTGTTTGCAGAATCTTGAAATTAAGAAAATTAATGATGAAAAGAAGGCCTCCATGGCGGCTCAATTTGCAGCAGAAGCAACTCTTCGCAGGGTTCATGCTGCTCAAAAGGATGATGATATGCCTCCAATTGAAGCTATCCTGGCTCCATTGGAGGCTGAGCTCAAGCTTGCTCGGCAGGAGGTTTGTTCCTTTTGGACATTTGCTCTGCTAGTCAAGTAAAAGGCTTGTTTAGGCATCACTGAAGTCTGAAATGAACTCTTGCCTTGCACTTCTAGATAGTGAAGCTGCAGGACGATAACAAAGCATTAGACAGGCTCACCAAATCAAAAGAGGCTGCTCTTCTTGAAGCTGAGAGAACTGTACAGGTCGCATTAGCGAAGGCTTCTATGGTGGATGATCTTCAAAACAAGAACCAAGAGTTAATGAAGCAGATTGAAATTTGCCAGGTAGAGCGATTTCTTCGGCCGTTTCACTTTGAAGTTAATAATTACCTAATTATTACTGTTTCCCCGACATTGGAATTTTCTGTTTTTTCAGGAAGAAAATAAGATACTGGATAAAATGCATAGGCAGAAGGTTGCAGAAGTTGAGAAGCTTACCCAAACGGTGCGTGAGCTTGAAGAGGCTGTACTTGCTGGTGGGGCAGCTGCCAATGCTGTACGTGACTACCAGCGGAAAGTTCAGGAGATGAATGTAATGATCCATGCAAAATTCTCGTTTACAATTGCAACTACTGAAAAATATGCAAAAATTTAAATAACTAGAACATATTTTGTCTTTTAGTTTAATGTCTTCTGTCTTTTGGTTTGTAGGAGGAAAGAAAAACTCTTGATAGGGAGCTGGCACGTGCGAAAGTAACTGCAAATAGGGTGGCAACTGTGGTAGCTAATGAATGGAAAGATGCTAATGACAAAGTAATGCCCGTCAAACAATGGTTAGAGGAAAGAAGATGCTTGCAAGTACGTATCTTTTCCTGCCACCTGTCACTCTTGCTACCAAGGAAATATTTGAACTTTATTCTCTAATTAGAAAAAAAAAATCTTGTAACTAATGTAATTTGTCGTCACAGGGTGAGATGCAGCAACTTAGGGACAAGCTTGCCATTAGTGAGAGAACCGCCAAATCTGAAGCCCAGTTGAAAGTAAATTGGTTATTTCATTATTTCCCATTTAATAAGACGAAAGTTGATCAAAATTTATGGAACTTCTTAAGTTTAGAATAACCTTTCATTCTATCATGGTTCGCGTAGGAAAAATATCAAGTAAGACTCAGAGTTCTTGAAGAGACTTTGAGATCACCTAACACAGCATCTCGAGGCATGCCAGATGGAAGGAGCTCAAGCAATGGTGCTTCTCGCCGGCAGTCGCTTGGTGGAGCCGAAAATATTTCCAAATTGACATCCAATGGCTTTCTTCCCAAGAGGTCCCCATCATTTCAACTCAGATCATCTGGTAGCAGTACAGTGTTGAAACATGCAAAAGGAACATCAAAGTCCTTTGATGGTGGCTCAAGATCTTCGGACAGGGCTAAAGTTCTCTTAAATGGATTAGGACTGAATTTCAAGCAAAGCCAGTCTTGTGATGGAACTAAGGAAACTGAGACTCAAAGTAGTAAATGCAAAGCAACTCCAGAGAATAAATCAATTGATACACAAGTTCCAGATACAGAGGATACTGTGCCAGGGTTGTTATATGATCTGTTGCAAAAGGAAGTGGTCTCTCTAAGGAAAGCTGGCCATGAAAAGGATCAGAGTCTTAAGGATAAGGATGACGCTATTGAGGTTAATTTCTCTCCATATTAACTCATGACCTACATTGTCTTTTTGCTAAAAGTTGTTTAAATCTACAATCAGATGTTAGCAAAGAAGGTAGAAACTTTGACTAAAGCGATGGAAGTTGAAGCCAAAAAAATGAGAAGAGAGGTGGCTGCTATGGAGAAGGAGGTGGCCGCCATGCGCGTGGAGAAAGAACATGAAAATAGAGCGAAACGACTTGGGAATTCGAAGGGTTCTGTCAATCCACAGATGCTGCCTGCAAGGTATGCCTCTTCATGGTAACACTGATATGATGACATGTTTTTATGCAGATAGCATAATATACCTACAAAGACCCTGAAGATGTAATAATGCTTTTATTTGCATGATTGAAAAACATTACTAAAAATATTATTCTGAAGTGTACCCATATGTGTGGGAGAAGTGTTCTCATGTGTGGGAGAAGCATATGCTGACTTTATGGATAGAATACATGCACTTAAGTTACAATCTAGAAAAAATACCTCATATCTAAAGTCTTTGAATCTCATGAACTGTTTCCAGATTTAGTGGTTTTCTGGGTAATACCAAATCGTATGTGGACTAGTTATTTTCCTTTGATAAGGATTGCACAAGTGTAGATACCAAATTCTTAGCATGGTTGGAGTTTTCTAATCTGTCCGACATTCGAACGAGTTGATGTTCACTTCAATATGCCCAAAAGTTAATGCCAACTTAATATAATAGAAGAAAATGATGTCATAATGCAGCATCCGTTGCTCGACTTGTGTTAATTAGTAGTCAAGAGGTTATTATAAATTCCAAATTTCTATCAGTGCAGTGGCATGAGTTGAAATATACTTTTCTCAAAGTTTCTTTCAATCTTTCCGTAAATGAGATGAAGTATCCAACATGCATTATTGGTTATTGCTTATTTGCTGATTCTCATTCGAGTATATATAATTGTTAGTTCAGAAGCTTTCACTTAAAGTAACCACTCTTTTCAGTTGGCATATTTCACGTCTTAAACTTGTCACAACAAGTGTGGTGATTCCATTGTTTGCTAGTATGATCTACTTGTACTAGGTTAGGTCTACATCTGTAACTGATTCTATCATACGTTTTTCCTTCTTTTTCCCTCGTTGAGAAAAAAAAAAAAAAAAAAACAGTACACCACTTTTAGATTGATATTTATGATTTGAACTGTTCAATTCGACTAGGTTCCTGCTGTAGTTTCTTTAATCACCTGTTCTTTTTATGTAAAGATGTTTTCACCCATTTTATCTTTCACTTGAGTATCCACAATACTTTAGGTCTAATTTTTTTGTAGTCATAGTAGTAGTAAAGTTAATTTTTGGATGATGTGGAGAAACCGAAGAATAAATAGATCATACTCACTTCATTGCAAGTTTTTAGAACTTGGGTCTAAATGATGCGTAAACCAAATATATATTAGGTACTATTATAATTAATCAATTTTATGGGGACTTATTGGGTCTAGATCCATGTCTCAAAATGGGCCAAGTGGAGGCAAAGTCCACTTTTATAGTTTTATATGCCACATCATTTGGACCTTTTTTTTTTTTTATTTTTTTTATTTTTTTTTTCCTTTTTTTGGTACTCATTGGAGGGGATTTTTTCAACAAAAGGTTCAAAGCCATGTAGAACTAGAAGTCTAGACATTTTCCCAAGTAGGGCAAGTTTGATCCTACCCCCGTGGGCAGTGCCGCCATGGGGGTTTTAACCGTAGGATCACACACACACTCACACATGTGGTTGTGTGTTGACCCAAGTGGACCATAGGATAGGGAGAAATTCACTCCCAAGTGGACCCTAGGATTAGAGATGCTTTATTATGCATTATCTATTTCTGTGATTTTTTGCTGCAATCCAATATGTACATATCTTGTTATGTGACATTGATTCATGACTGGTTGCTGCATGTGGATTTGTTCCGATTTGTTGATTTTCTTTGACATCGAACCCGCGCAATTTATTAGGACACTAAGCTGCCTGTTTTTGTTGACTTTTTTTATCCAATCATTGTACTAGATTCCCATCATTGTCAACCCAATTATGCATTTCAAATGAGTCCAAAATTGTGCTTGACATCATGGAAACTTGCCATGAATCTGCTCGATTGTTTGTACCTTTAAAATTGGATAGTTTATCAAGTGTTAAAACTTGAAATCTGTAGACTTTGCTTGGACGTTTTTGGTGTTCATCTTTTAGGGATCAAATGACATTGACTGCCTTAACTGTGTGAAAGTGTTCGGTGTTAGATTCTTACATTTTCCTGCATCCCAATATTCTTAGAAGTGTGCATACAATTTTCAGTGGCCCCCATTCTTTTATTTTGATGCCAAATAATAATGTTTGATTGTTTGCATTTAGAATGATAAAACAATATGGCAAGCCCAATGATGACTTGTGTGCTGCATTCCAATTTAATTAAGTGCACACCAGAAAGAAAATATCGAGTACCACAAAGATCCTCAAATATGTTCATGATTTTTTTCTGCTAGTAAAATACAGTTTATCTTTTGCAGGAGTCTGTCAAGAAGTGGTTTGACGCGCAGCACACAATAACGAAAATCCCGAACTCGAACATTGACGATCGTTCCTCCCTAAATTTGCTCATTTATCCTTTTCATGTCCTAAATTTTTACCTTTGACTGTTTGTATAATCGTGACAAGCACGCCAATGGCTCTTTGGTTGGTGGCGAGAAAGAGAGAAAAATCGTGCAAAAAATCTGGCGGGAAATGGTTGGGTGTGCTTTCTGACATAGAAATTATAATCCTTCCCCCCTCTGCTTTGAAGAACATGAGGATATCAACTGAACTAACCTTTTCGCAGTGTATTTTGGGTGGCAGTTTCTAAATGTGTTTGTATAGGTATTTAAGCTTTGATGGCCAAACTTTTGTGGTTTTATTATTTGTTTGCAGTCTATATTTGAAGTCTGCAGTTAGTTGTGGTGTTGGTATTTTGTTTGAGTTTTTGTTATCTTTTTATCAGATGCAATGTTTGTGTTCTTGTTCATCTGTAGTAAGTGTACTTGAAGTTTTCTTTTCCATTGCTGGTCATTTGCCTTAAGATCAGAGTTATGAGATACCATTTGAACGCTGAAAGATTTACGTGTTCTTTTTCTAGTTTTACAGAAAGAATTCAGTTTTAGATCATCGGTTGATTTTTTGGAATAATCCATTATGTTACATGACGTAATCTTCAATTTATAAGATGACGTAATATGGTTTGTGTCGTCCGATTGTATGTTACATGACGTAATCTTCAATTTATATTCTACCCAAAGATTGGACGCAAAACAAGTACATAAAGTTGTTCTTATCATTATGCACACAGAGGTAGTTCTTAACACTCACATATAGTGGGCCTCACTTGTTTTTTTATTTTTGGTAGGTCCGACTCAATATGAGTGTTGTCTACGTCCTATGTACAAACGTAGGTATAGCATTTCTAATAATACACAACCAACAAAAAATCAGTTGAATGAATTTGGCAAGGATTTTTCATATATTACTATTCTGGTGAGTGAGGGTGACGCTATCGTTATGCTACAGTGCCGCATTGTCAAAATATTCTTTTTAATCTTGCTTTGGTTTCGTACTGTGCGATTGTGTCAAAGGAAGTGGTCACGTGGGTGCACGTGCCCATGATAACAACTCAACAATGACATTGCTTTGAAAAGAGGGAAAAGAACTTTACTAAAACAAGGAAGTCCCGATGGTGTGAACTGTGATTCTATATGAATAGCCAAGAGATGATGTGTAAATAATATTAATTAGTACAATACCTGTGTATTACACGGGTGCTTGTTAAAAAATTATTTTTAAATTTTTAAAATTAATGAGAAAACTATATTAAATTTAATTTACTTTTTTACAAAAAAAATATATTACTATATATTTTAGAATGATATGTGTTACTTATGACTTACATGTGTTATATTATATTAGTTTTTATAACTTATATCATATAACTACTTGAGATATAAATATATTAATTGATGAATAATTTTATTTTTCTAACTAATATTAAAAATAATTTTATTATTGTTATAAAGATAAATATAAATTAGTTTTTTATACATACAATATGGGTGTTAAATCGAAACTCATCAAAAGAAGATTAATTTGATATATTACATATGTAAAACTTATAAAAAATACAAAAGTTATTAACTTTTAAAATATATATACAATTCAATAGTTATAATAAGGAATGATATTAAAATGCAAATCAATACATGTAACATGACCATAAATAATCAACATATTTATGGTAATTCGAACCTAGTTATTTTTGGTTTGGAATTAAATTAAAATTTACCCTTGCCTAATAAAAAAGCATGTAATTTTTCCACATAGGATTACGAAGCATCAGAAGCAGCCACGTAGGCTCAGCGCGTTCTGGATTAATATATAAGGGGATTAAAGAAAATCATAAATAAAAGATATGGATAAAAAAATATTAAAAAATTATAAATTAAATATTTAGGGTGAACATGTGATATAATTTACGTATATTAGTTTTTTGTAAACAATATAAAATTAAGACGTTGCTATTCACCGCTCTCCTAGTACTACATACCGCCTCAAATTACCGTTTTACCCTTTTATTATATTTTATTACTCTCTCTCTCTCTCTCTCTCTCTCTCTCT